CCTTAGTCTAGTAGTATTGTTGATTGCCATTTAAAGTGAGCCTTTACTACGGTGATCGGCTTTCTCATGGCTTCACAAAATTTTCCGAGCATGTAAGACAATTAAAAAATAAGTTTTATGTTAAATGATAAATGCTAGTTTATTACCACAGAATACTTATGTATTATAATATTCTATGTTTATTACACTGTATTTATATTCTTTCTTTTGTTTCAGTTAAAATGATTTCTGAACAATCAACAACAAAAGGTCGTTTGGTACACACCAATTAGAAATCTCGGCATTTGCAGATCATATCCATATTTTTTTTAAAAATACCAGAGAAAAATAAAAATGGATCCGAATACTACGACACGTGGGCGCACCAATGACGTAAGTAATATTTTTTACGGAACTAATTTTGACAAACGAGCTAGTAGTGTATCTGATTGTAAGAAGAAGCTACGGCCCATCTTCTATTATAGAGTTAGAAAGCAATGCAAATGAGTTATCATCTCTGAGGACTAAGATGGAATGCCTTCGTTACTCGTTAATGAAGGCATCCACGACTTTTTCTCGTCGTGGCGCCACCTAGAAATAAGGTTATATATTTCACTAGTAACCTCACATTTAACTAGTGACATCTGATGAGCATTATTAGCCCTCCTTAAAAGGGTCTCTAGTTGTACATATCTACGATTTTAAGTTGTTCCATAATCTAACCCATTAGGCTATTGTCAATTCTCAATTCGACTATTTTTTGTGTACTTTACGTGATTTCTTCATCAATTTTGGTTTTAATTGTTATTTTCTTATTAAATAGGCTTCCTCTTTATTAATATAATACTAATAGATTTTAATATCTGTTTAGATGCCGTTCGAGTAACCTTCGGCTTATGATATTCCATAATGATCCACTTAATAGGGTCAAATAACTATACTCAAAAAAAGTAAAACCTACTTCATATAACTAATAAAATAATGACCACATTTTTTAATAACTTCTAAAATCTGTAATTCTTCGTCATATTATATATTATCACCAAGTTCAGAAGCTATTAAATTATTTTATTCTTTTTGTTTTTTTTTTCAGTACACTTTTTACTTTTTTAAAGTTTAACTACCTATTTATTACGTATTAATAAGCCTTTGCTTGAATACTATCTGATACACACACGCACACATTTACAACTACGCAATCACAATAATCTAAACTACATTCGGCTGGCAGCGCATATTAAGCTATAAATCCACATAGATAAAGTAAGTAAACAACAAACTTGTTCGTATAATATATTGTTGTTTTATATTTTCGGCAATGGTGTATCTACTAGCAGATTCCACTGTATAATTATTCCACAGTGTTAAGCGTTATAACCTAGTACTGTTACTTGATGGTATTGTTTCACTTGTTCTATTGTTAAGGGAAGCTCCGTAAGTAAACCTGCATGCCTATGAATAATAAACAATTATAAATTTTTAGTGGCGGTTAAGAATATCCACTACCCCATATCTTCCTTTGGGTGTCGTAAAAGGCGACAGAGGGAAACAGGCAGGAGATGGGCAGCAGCATCTTCCTGATAACAGCAACTGTACAAAAAAAAACTGCGGTTGCCAACCCGCTCGCCAAGCGTGGCAACTATGGCAATATACCCCCCATGATAGTTACAAAGAAACGGCCCCCAGTGCCCGGCGGCCTCGCTATTCCTGGCTACGGTGGCGACCATGGTAACGGCGGGCCAGTGGGTGCTCAGAATTTCCTCTGGAGGTTCGGACAACGACTCGACCTGGCAACATATAACGCACCCTGAGGACTGACGAGAAGATACTGGAGGTGGAAGAAGAGATAGACAAGTTGCGGTGGAATATAATAGGATTATCTGAGGTCCGAAGAGAAAGGGAGGACACGGTGATTCTCGAATCCGGCAACTTGTTCTATCACCGGGAGGGCGACCATCTGTCCCAAGGAGGTGTTGGATTTTTCGTCCACAAGTCTCTCGTTAACAATGTTGTAAAGATTGGGAGTGTGTCGACGAGGGTTGCGTACCTTATACTTAGATTCACCAAACTATATTCGCTGAAGGTCATACAGGTTTACGCACCAACATCGGAACATCCCGATTAGGAGGTGGAGGAAATGTATGAGGATATTTCTAGAGCCATTCATTCCTCCAAAACTCACTATACGGTATTAATGGGAGTCTTTAATGCAAAACTAGGCACAAGAAAGAACGGTGAACTGAAGGTAGGGAAATTTGGGATAGGGCAACGAAACCCAAGGGGCCTGCTGGCCGACTTCATGGAAAAAGAGGGACTCTTTATGATGAACTCTTATTTCTAAAAATGGCCCCACAAAAAGTGGACCTGGTCGAGCCCCGACGGTTCGACAAAAAATGAGATTGACTTCATTATGACAACTAGACGCCAACTGTTCAGTGATATCTCAGTGATCGCAAGGGTGAAAACTGGCGGCGATCACCGAATGGTTAGAGGCACACTGAACCTAAACGTTAAGTTGGACAGTTCTCGTCTAATGAAGTCAACGCTCCTTCCCCTCGTGCTCTAATCCAATATCCCGAAACCTTTCAGCTCGAGTTACAAAACTGCTTTCAGTGCCTAGAGGATTGCAATGCAGTGTACGATATGAATAACAAGCTCGTGGAAACTGTCCATGCGGTTGGAGCTAAGTTCTGCAAGATCCGCCGCAGAAAAACACAAAAGGGTGAATCTTGAGAGGCTCAATTTACGTTGTCAGGAGAAAAAAAGTACCCGTAGTATTAAAATTAGAAACCAAAATATTTTTTATGTTATAATATAAAGTATGATCTAACTGAGGCACGATATTTTTTGTGTCTAATTTGGTGTAATAATATAGTAAACAATCCGAAAGATCTAAATATTGATACCCCTGGCGCGTCCGCTTCACATTTCGCAAAAAACTTACCACCAAAACACTTACATACGAACGTAAATAAAATAAACAATGCAGTCTAATCGCTACCAGGTTTGTTGTTGGTATATAAAAAAAATATACCGTATGTGTATCTATGACAATTTTATTAAGAATTATAATATAAAGTTTGTCTGAGACTAAACAGTGATTCCCGTGGCGCGTCACTAAACTACGTGCATCCCTAGTGGAATGTTCTATAGGAGTGGATCCGTTTCGTCGCATGAGCGTCTAATAGTAGCGCTTCGAACGTCGTTGTGTAGGGTTGCGCCGCTCGTTGGTCCAGGACGAAATTACGAAGATAAATATTTGATTCCCTTGGTTTTGATTAGCTAGGTCGTTGATTACCCTGACCACGTTTATAAATATAATATGAGTTTTAAGGATTTGTTGTCGAGTGTTTATGGAACAGCTTTAATGATCGTTATTTATTTATTTCATTTTTATTATTTAAAACGTATTCTTTTTATCAGAATCGATAAAAACATCCTACTTTTTGATTCTATTGGCATTGATTCTCTTGCTATTTGCGCCAAGGTAATCAAAATTCCTGATGAAAAATCGAAATATTCCTAATTTTCAATGAAAACAAGAAAATTAGCCTATTATTTCTTATACATATATTTATTTTTTATCCGTCTTATCGATTAAAGATTATTTATTATTATTAATTCGCGCGACTTGCCTGCATGTTATTTGAAAATGACAAATTTTATCAATAAGAACAATTTATATGAATATCTTAATGTCCTTGTTCGTCTCGCAAACAAAGCCCAAACCAACTACGAAACAAATTTTAGAGATCAGCTATGTTAAGTTTTTAAATCACTTATAAACATATTTCAGATTTGAGCAATGCCTCCAAAATAATCAAGGCAAGAAAGGTTAGAGAAGAAACGACTTGCTGCGTGTCGCAGACTACAAAAAATTAAGAATGATCCCGAACTTAAAGCACAATTGCAAGAAAAATAAAGGCAAAAATATTTGAAGAAAAAAAATCTGGGAAGATTATACCAGTAGGTGAAATGAGTCCACGGCAGTAAAAACTTGCAAGAAAGAAAAGTAGGGAAAGTTCAAATCGTTACAACCAGAAGAAGAAACTTAGAAAAATCCAGGATCTTGAAGAAATAGTCAATTATTCAGATAAGGAAGATTCAGAAATAAATAGCGATAACAACAAAGATCCTCTAAGTCTGATTCCACCTCACTCGTCTAATTCTTTTGCCATTGAATCATCGCCACCTCCAAGTCCCGATAGTGATATATACGCACCACCAAGTCGAATCACAAAATCTACAAGAAGAAAAAATCTCGATCAGACTTCTGTACATCAACTTGGTTTGGAATTAGAACCAACTTCATTCAGTGACACCGACACATCTTCATCTCGAAGTCCTATTAGTGACATAGCTACCGAATTAATACCAAATCCAATTCGATCCTTAAGCAGAAAACAAAATCAAGCTGGTCACAAATCTATAAAAACTCCCCTGAAGTACCTTTTGAAAAATGAACATAAGGAATTGCTAACAAAAGATAGAAAAATTCAAGAATTTAAACTAATAAATGAGAAGTACAGAAAAAAGATAAATAGATTAAAAAATAGTAAGTCTGAAAGAAAAGCAGTTGAAATGTCTATAAGCCAAAATAGTCAAAATAAAAAATCGACTCTCAAAAACGATTTATTGAAACATCAAAAAATAAAATGAAAACAGCAATAGAAAAGTTTTTCGAAGATGATGAAAATAGTAGACTTTGCCCCGGAAAGAAAGAATATGTAACACGACATAAAATTAGAAAACAAAAGCGATACCTAAATTTCAACTTGCATCAGTTACATCAAAAGTTCCTCAAACACCATCCCAAGAATAAAATTAGTTATAGCTTTTTTTGCACCTTGCGACCATTTTGGACAGTAATTCCAAACGTCAACGCCCGAGAGACGTGCTTCTGTATTGCTCACGAGAATATGAACCTAGCTCTTATGGCTCTTAAAAGCCACGGGATAATAGCAAAAAAAATCGACGTATGATGTTCTTAAATTCCTGTGTTGTGATTCGAGGAATGTAATATGTTTAATGTGAGTAGAAACTGTGACTGCTGTAAAAATAGGCATTTGAATTACCAGGAATTTGATAATTCCAAGGGAAGCCACTACTGGTTTTGGACAAAGTCTAAAAAGAAATATATCAAGAAAGGTCAAGAGAAGATTACCATGCAATCATTGAAGCAAAAAGTATTAGCATATCCTAAAAATATAATGGAGCATTTTGAAAAATTATTAGAGCCATATATGTGCCATTGCGCAAATATTGTTGCTCAGAATAAAGGCATCAAGAATTTGAAGTCAAATCTGAAATCAGGAGAATTCATAGTACATTGTGATTTCAGCGAAAAATACAATACGAAATACGCTTCTGAGATACAGTCTTTTCATTTTGGGAGTTCAAGACAACAAGTGACCCTACACACTTCTGTCATTTATTATGTAAAAAATGAAGAGATTAGTACCAAATCATTTTGCACCCTGAGCGAGTGCTTACGACACGACGCTGTGGCAATTTGGGAGCACTTGATTCCTATCCTGAACTTCATTGAGAAGGAGGTTTCCGAAATGAAGTTTTTAAATTTTATATCTGATTCTCCATCTGCACAGTACCGTAACCGTAAAATGTTTTACGTGATGGCCAAACTTCATTGGAACTATCCAAATTTACGTCGCGTGGTTTGGAATCACTCCAAAAAAGGACATGGAAAGGGAGCTCCAGATGGTGTGAGGGGAGTATTAAAAAGAACTGCTGATCAAATTGTTGCTCAAGGGAATGACATCCCAAATATTGAAGCCTTAATCAGCCATCTTAAAATTAAATGCCCGGGTGTTTCCATAGAGGAAGTTGTGGAATCAGGCGTTTTAGAAAAGGAATTATTGATCCCTTCAGATCTAAAAGAATTTCGTGGTACCATGGCAGTGCACCAAGCTATATGGAGCTGCAATAATCCTGAAGTATTAGCCATGAGGCGTCTTAGTTGTGAATGGGAATATGCTCTGAAGAATCAGTGCAATGTTCACATGGACACCATATTGGTTTCTATAACATTGGGAATACAGCTTTAAGCAACAATACTTATCCATCAAAAACTAGGAAAAATAATGCTATAGCTGAGTGCAGTAGAACATCTTTTGGAATTTCCATTTCTAAACCAGACCATGGACTGGATGAAATTTCAGTCGAAGACCGCCCTGATATTAATATACCGTCTGATGACAGCTTCTGGACTGATGTTCCTTCAATGAATGAAAATTTAACATCTACCACCATGACCAAAACCGTATTAACAGCCCTCCAATGTGAACATGATGATTCCAGCGCAGATTACAACATTTTTTAGATTAAGTATTACCCTGATATCGATAATAGCTTTGATTAATAATCTGAGTGTAGTTGATTTTAAAAACAAAATATTTGTTTTGAGATATTTCTTTTTCAATTGTTGAGAATTATGTTACCGAAAATATAGATCGTTGATTTTTTATAATTTTTGCTAATATTGTTGACTTTAAAAAAGGAATAGTTTTAGTGTTTTAATTACATTTTCCTATTAATTGATAAGTGGTTAAAGTAAAAGTGCCAATTTCTACAAACAAAAGACTGACTAGTACTATATATAGGTATAGACCTAATGTAAAATTATAATAGAACTTGAATTTTTTATATATCTTGTTTTAATTTTGATTCCCTTGTCGTGTTTTATCTCTGAAAACTATAGTGTACAACCAGTGCGTGTTGCCAGTGATGACTTACGGAATCAGAGACGTGGTCCTTCACTACTGGCCGTATGAGGACGCTCAAGGTCGCTCAGCGAGCTATGGAGAGAGCTATGCTCGGAGTTTCTCTGCGTGATAGACTCAGAAATGAGGATATCGGCAGTAAAACCAGAGTGACCGACATAGCCCAACGGATTAGTAAGCTGAAGTGGCAATGGGCCGGCCATATAGCTCGAAGAACCGATAACCGATGGGGAAGAAAGGTTCTCGAGTGGCAGCCTCGAACCGGTAGGCGTAGTGTAGGGCGACCCCCCACTAGATGGAGTGACGACCTGGTAAGATATGCAGGATGTCGATGGATGCAGGTGGCTCAGGACCGTGCTTTGTGGCATTATTTGGGGGAGGCCTATGTTTAGCAGAGGATTTGTGAAGGGCTGTAATGATGATGATGATGATGATGTCGTGTTTTATTGATTCCCCTGGCCAAAAAATTTAAAATGCTATATTTTAGGAACCGTGTTTATAATTAAGTTAAATTTTATGTTACATTGTTACTTGCAAAAAATCTGTTTAAATAAATTTCGCCAAGGGAATCAACTGAAAATACCAAATCTCAGCATTCACCCAAAAACTCTCCGATCACATTCTTAATATCATGGCTGTTAGAGGGGAGATGAGGCTGCAATCGTCAACCGATTTGACAGCATACAGGCAACTGAACAGACAGATCTCCAAATGCATGCGGCGAGACTTACGCAACTTTAATACTCCAGTCATCCACACTATTTATCCTTCTAGCATTAGAATGCTCTCCAGCACCTTAAAAATGGCAGGGTCCCAGGCGAGGATGGAATTACAGCGGAGCTTCTGAAAGCGGGTGGAACACCGGTACTTGAAGTCTGTCAGAAGCTCTTCAATTCCGTCCTCCATGGTGGCACTACTCAGGAGGCGTGGAGCAGAAGTGCGGTGGTCTTGTTCTTTAACAAAGGCGACAACGCTCTATTGAAGAACTGCAGACCGATTTCAAGTCTGAGCCGCGTCTACGTGCTGTTTTCGAGAGTCATTACGAATCGTCTCGCACGCAGACTCGACGATTTCCAGCCTCCCGAACAAGCCGGTTTCCGAAAAGGCTTCAGTACCATAGACTACATACATACCCTGCGGCAGATTGCACAGAAGACAGAAGAGTACAATCTGCCACTTTGCCTGGCGTATTTGTATGTGGACTATGAGAAAGCCTTTGATTCCGTCGAAATTTGGGCAGTGCTACAGTCCCTTCAGCGGTGCCAAGTTGACTGTCGGTATATCGAAATGCTGAAGTGTTTGAACAGTAAGGCTACGATTGCTATCCGAGTACAGAGCCAGAGTTCGCAACCTATCCAACTGCAGGAGGTGTAAGACAGGGTGACGTTATATCCCCGAAACTCCAGTAGTTCATTCTTAATAATTTCCCAGGTTGATTTTTACAATATTCTTTCTTTTTAATATAAACTTATTATTACTATATTTTTAGGGTGATTGATAAATTTTTTAAAAGCCTTGTGTAATTGTTATATACGATTTTATTATGATTTGTTTTGTATAAGTAATATTTGTAATTATATATTTTTTTCGTAAAACAACAGCTTTTTTAATACGTTTTGATATCAATTTTATGTGTGGTCTAATGTTAGATTTAATCTTTAATATCAGAAAGTAAAGTTTGTAAAACAGATGAAAGAGTTCATAAAATTATTAAAAGCTAAATTTAGGTTATTTTCCAAAAACACTTCAGAAAACGATAAATTTTCTAAATAATTCTGAAACTTATTAATGTTTTCTTGAGAATCACTTCTTTTGAAAGTGAAAACAATTTTTGGTAGGACCTTATTTTTGTTAACGGTAAACCTTATCATTTGAGCAGTTTCGTGATCCGATAACAAAAGCGGAAGAATTATCGCAGTGGAATTTGGTATGTTACTAATAACGTGATCAATACAGGACTGTCGTCTAGCTGGTCTTGTAATATGCAAATGAAAATTAAATGTTTTATATAATATCTGTGAATGTAGTCGTTACATTATCATTTACATACATAAATACATAAACACTCACTCCTGTCACCCAGAGGGGTAGGCAGAGACTACAGACTCCCATTTAACACGATCCTGACACACCTCTCTCGCCTCCTCCACATCCATATACAGGGGCGGACCATGAATTTGTGGGGCTCTGGGCTAACACTAGTAGGGGCCCTACCAAATTAATCAAACTAATCAAGTCAAAAAACAGTTTTCTGTAATGATTAATATACGGTCTGGAAAAAATTATATGACTTTGATACATAAACAGCAATTGTAAGACATTATTACACAAGATATTAACAGGTTATGTTAAATAAATTATTGAAGACCTTTCTAGATTTTTGCGCTGTTAATTCCTTTATTTGCTTATCACATTGTCAATCTTTTGTTAAATCACAATTTATGGAAAGGATTGATAAATAATTTAGTCGATTCTGTCGTAGTCGATATCCTGGAGAAACAGCGCACTGATTCACAGCTAGTGTTTGACAACGTCAAAAATTCTAGAAGATGACAGTAAAATAAAAATAAAAACATTTCACTGCAAGAGTGTGCGTGGAAGGAAAAGGAGAGATCTCCCGCCGGGCCAGGTGTTCTCTGCCCGGGGAGTGGCCAACACTCCGAGTGATAATTCGGAGAAGTTCTATATATACTGTCTATGATTCGGAATGTTAATAGCGCGATTTAGGCTTCTGTGTGTTTCGGTGTACTATTGGCGCGACGACAGCACTACTACATCACCCCCCTGCTCAGACCGGAGGTCGATAGTGCAGCCTCGTTGCCGACGAATGTGCAAGTGCCAGGAGATTGCCTTGTAATCTGCGGTGAGTCGAGAAGAAGGCAAGAAATCTGCGAGAGTGCCGTGGAGCAGAGGCGAGCAGTAAGGCTCAGAGCCGTGCCGAACACTGTATAGCGCAGAGAGTAGCTTGAAGGAACAGGAAGCATTATTATTCCAGTGCTGCGATGAACCTTGTGAAGCTAGATGGCTTGCAGGATATGAAGACTGCAGACGATATCTGCTCGGGAGCGTATGGGTGAAGTATTCTATGACGATGATGAAGCTTGAAGTTTCCGAAGGTTGTTGGTTGCGTGTTCAAATCACGTCGGGGTCACCACTGTGGCCGGTGAGGAAGGAAAAGGGGAGATCTCCCGCCGGGCAAGGTGTTCTGCCCGGGGAGCGGCCAACACTCCGAGTGATAATTCGGAGAAGTTCTATATATACTGTCTATGATTCGGAATGTTAATAGCGCGATTAAGGCTTGTGTGTGTTTCGGTGTGCTAGTGGCGCGACGACAGCGCCACTACAAGTGTAAGAATCTAGCTTAGTCTTTAGTAAGAGTTTAACTTTTCTTACTATATGCTTAATAGACCTGACATTTTCTATTTAAATCCAAAATCCAAAACAGCTTATTCAACACATTTGGCTGCGTTTGGCAGAAAAAAGCGCTAGGAAGTGCTTGTAAGCAAAATGACGAAACTAAACAGTTTTCGGCCAGGACACGTTTGCTACCTTCAGTAGCGCTGACACAATCCGCCATTTTGCTTATTTACTTTGTTTGTGAGTTTGTTTTGAAGTAGAGTTTATAAGTTGTTTTGTGCAATATTAGTTTCAAGTAATAATGATATGAATAAACATATACATGTTATTAAAAATTCATGATTGGTAAGTTTTTAACATGAATACTTTACAAACATATACTTAAATTAGGTTAGGTTCCCCGGTTAAAGCTAACTTCGTGTCCTAGAGGAAAATAGCTACTTACGATGCCATTTTGCTTACAAGCGCTTCCTAGAGCTTTTTTCTGCCAAACGCAGCCAACGTTTAACGTTTGACTCTTTTGACTTCAACTGCTGAAAGCAAACGAGCGTGCGGCTCACCTGATTTTAAGTGACTACCGCCGCCCATGATCAACCGCAACACCAGGGGAATTGCAGGTGCGTTGCCGGCCTTTGAGAAAGGAGTAAGCTCTTTTCTTGAAGATCCCCAGGTCGTATCGGTCCGGAAAAATCGCCGGTGGTAAACTATTCCACATAGAGGTCGTACGCGGAAGAAAACTCCTTGTGAAACGTACGGTGGTGGAACGCCAAGCATCCAGATGGTGTGAATGGTATCGGGACGTTTGCCACGTAGTGCGTTCACGAAATTTGGCGATTAATCGAACAATTCCTCAGAGCACTCTCCATGGTATATGCGAAAGAAAATGCAGAGATGCAACATTTCTTCGCAGCGCCAGTGAATCGAGCCGATCGGAAAGCACTCGGTCGTCAACGATTCGAGCCGCTCTA